ATTAGGGAAAAAAGTTAATCCCTTGATTCGGCCAGACCTATTATTATATTATTGACTTATTGAAAAAGACTTGAGTGCCCTTCTTTAAGTAAGAGGCACTCGAACTAACATAACAGTACACATCAGCATTCTCAACAAGTACAAAGACTGAAATACCCCTTCACTAACACCACTAACAGCATGTAATGTGATTTGAACCTTCACCACTTGTGTAAATAACAACTACTATTACCACCAAGCTATGACCAACTTGTTGGTCAAAAGGGAGTTAGTTTTTAGTTTTAAGTACATAAATATAAGATTAATGGGTTGGGCGGGTTGGATTGGGTCAAGGCAGGTTTGGGTTGAACCCAACCCATTTAATTTTATATAACTAGGTCATTAATGAGTTGGCGAATTAGATGGGTTGGGTTGAAGCTCAACCCAAACCAAGCCCAACCCAATCCACCCAATTGCACTGCTACTGGTTATGCCCCAAACTGTTGTTTGCTGAAAAAACATTTAAAAAGTTAGAAAACAGTTGAGCTGGATGATTGAACCATTGAACTGTTCAACCCAGTAGACCTGTTCATGGGCCGGGCTTCGGGCCTGACTTACACTATGTCGGGCTCGGGCTTTGGGCCGGGCCTCATTCAAAATTTGGCAAAATCCAAGCCCAAGCCCAAGCCCGACCCATGAACAACTCTACCAGTTAGTGGCTTGTGGGTCACATTTAAATTTAAAAGAAAAAAAAAATATAAAGGGGGCAGTTTACTCCGTTTTTTCCCTAGGGTTTACCAGTTTACCAAGTCTGAGAGAAAGACTCATGCCAGCTTGATGGGGATCAACTTAAGGTATATCAGAAGAGAACCAAAGCTGCTCCTATGCTTGTTTGGCATCATTATGATGATGTGGAACCCATATGGGAGCTGGGTTAGCACTGGATCAACTTGGGAACACCCTAGAGTCTTCAATCCACCTTAAGATGCTTTGTGTGGTTGAGTTTGCTGCTGGACAGGACTTATTTGACTTGTATTTCTGGACAGCAAGGGTATTTTTGTAATTTTTTCATGTTTGGGGACAAGTCAGTCTAGTAATTCCCTTTGTTTGGCTTTATGTTTGTAATTGTTTGGGCAGGTTTAGTCTAATCTAGCTTCTTTTTTGTAAATGGCTTGTTGTGCAAGCTAACTTGGGGGGCAAGTTTCTTCCTTTGGAAGCTTCTTTCTTATTAAACTTGTAAGGCTCATTTTTTTTGAAGATAGATAAAAAGATAAACTTTATTAAGGAAAAAGATTAAAGAGGATACATCAGGGTGACAAGTGATAACTGATAAGACATCACCCATCAATGAACAGATCCGCACTTACATCTCCCCTTAGGCATAAGGTGATCAACCCTTCAAACAAACATAACATACCGAAAAACAGTTTTTGTGATATTTGATTTGGGTTTTTGGTAGTAGTAACTTGTTAGGCTCATTTGAAGAACAATTTTTGGTTAATGAAAAAAGAAAGTTCTCTAAATAATTTGGTGTGATTGCCTTGGGTTTTCATCTTATTTTCATCTCTTCTCTTCTTTCTCTGTTAGTTCTTTGTTTGTGCTACACATCTAGACCTAAGTTGGTTGCAAGATTAGTGCTGAATCACAAAGAACCTGCATCACAGCTGCTGACAACTGCCATTTGTAGCGAAGGAGACCATCAACCCCAGGCCTATGGCAATTGGCAAAGGAGACCATCGACCCACTCTATCTCATGTTAGCCATTGGCAACCGCCATTTGCAGCGGTGACCATGAGTTTGTGCTTGTAGCAGCGACCAACTCGGTAGAGAGACCCATGGCTTGTAATAGCAATCCAAATCCTCTTTCTCTTAATTTCTTGCACCAGTGGCTGCCATTTGCAGTGGTGACCTATGGCTTGGACTTGGGAGCAATGACCAACTCTCTCATCTCTTATTCTCTTGCACTGACGACCACCATTTGCACTGGCAACCATCATTTGTTCACATGATTGCAAGTTAGGGTCTACACTTTTTGTTATCCCCTTCTATGATTGGTTGAAATCTCTATTATTTTGCTGTGAAATCCCATGTTTTTCCCTTGATTTAGAGCATTTTAGATGTTTTCTTTCCTGTTTTTAATCAAAGAGCAATTAAATTCATTTATGAGAACTGTCTCACTTCGATACTGAATGAATGCTCTGTAAATGTATCCATATATTTGATTATTTGTAGGCATTATATTTTTTTGTTATCATATTTGTGATGTCACGGGTTGAAGCATTCGACCTAGATGATTGAACTGGTGAACCGGAAACAGGAGACCATAGTGGTTCCATTTCTGGGTCGGTTTTTAAAAACTTGGTTTTTTGGGAGGCATTTGCAAAGCAAAGTCTTATCATTTGCATACTGCAACAAAGCTACTTCAATCTCCTCTCCCACCTTGAAGCCCTCTAGTAAGCCTCCTTCCACTGCTTTGTTCACCATAGTGCTAAGGGCTTCTATTAAGCGAATGAAAAGCAAAGGCGAAAGGGATCACCCTGTCTTAATCCCCTAGAATTGTGGAACCTTCCTTTTGGGCTACCATTTATTAAAATTGAAAAACTTTCTGTAGATATACAAACCTTTATCCAGTTCCTCTACCTCCTACGAAAGTTGTAGCTCCCCCTCTCTTTTATTTCTTTATTTTTTGATACATCATTAAGTAAACAGATTTGGGGGTTTTCATTCTCTCTTTCTCTATCCCTTTTCTGTTACATGGTCTTCAATCTTTTCTGTCAACAGTTTATTTTCCCTCTTAGTGTTGGAGAAAAAGGTGTGTTCGTTCCTTGTCAACTTCAATTAGAGGAAGGGTAGAAGCACAAATGTATTTTGATAGGAGCACCAACAAATTTTGATTAACTCATGGAAAGGAATATGGAATTTGGTTTTCCTTCTTTCACTTTTGATTGGGCTTTTATCCTTGGACAGAAGATTTCCTTTGAGAGATTCGAATTTGTCTCTCTCCCCTTTTCAAATATTACTATGGAGTACAAAACAAGTGATCCCTCCCCATCCTTTGTTTTGCTAGAGATTCAGCCATAGCATTAGCTGATCTTTGTACCCAGCTGATTTTGTTAGCTGCCTGAACCTCTTCATTTCATTCCTATAGGTCCAGTTGACTTTCTCCTTTTCCAATAGCCAGCTTATGATGACTTTAGAGTCTCCTTCTATAATTACTTCTTACAATTTTAACCTCCTGGTATGATCCCTCCATGGTGGCTAACCTTCTCAGCTCTTCATAAGTCCCCCACTCTAATAGGACTGAAAAAAGAGTGCAAAAATATTTCCTTTGTCATTTTAAAGACACCTCCCACAGTCCCACTCCTGAAGGCTTTGGATTCCACCATGCTATTCCCATCAAAATTGAGTTTTATGAATCCATTTTTTTTGTTGATGTCCAACTCTAATGTTGCACTATCCTTTCCGTGGACATTCCTGCCACTTCCCTCCATTTCCTCATTACTTAATCTGTAGAAAAGGTCAGAAGGTTTCTAGAGACCACCTAATGAGCCACCCTGATAGTGATACATTCAATAACTGCTTCCTTACTTCTCTCTTGCTCTTTACATGTTCAATATTGTTTCAAATAATTAGAGATACAAACAAACAATTAAAGCTTTATAATGGCTTTGTGGTTGACTAGATTGACTAGTTTGTTAATCGACTAGTGGACCTAGTTGATGCTCAGTCATCCTGAGCAATTACATCATCAGTATCAACTGGCTACTTAATGATGCAGTTGGTTGGGCCCTCAACTGAAATAGTCAATCAACTAGTAGATGATTGGTTGATGCTTTGATAACACACTGATTGGTAACAGTAACTTTAAGGGACCCTATTACAAAAGTATCTCAAAAAAAGCCAAAATATATTATCAGCTACAGTTAGTTACTAAATCCACTTCTTATCAACTTCTTTCCTGCTCATGTCTTTGAAGACTTTTTGGACCAAAGGTCCAGTGCCCAATCCACAATAATTAAACTAATATCTTTGCATTTTCTATGGTTTGATCTTGAGTTATTGTTATTCTGGAAAAATCTCTATTCCTTTCCTTCCATTTTCCCATAAAGTGGAAAAGGAGGTCTAGGACCTTTATTTCCAAAAGTCAAAGATGGGCATAAATGTGAGAGCTGAAGATAAGAGTTGATGCTGGAAGTATCCAGTTCATCCAAAAAAATGAAAGGGGTAAAACCAAATCTTTTTTTGAGACCTTTCAATGAACAACAGGATTGTATGCATCCTTTCTACTATGTCACACAAATTTGAAGTGTCCTACCTTATTTGTGTTGTGCTTCTTATGTGTCTTATAGTGGAAACTTTTTACAGCATGGGGAACACTAACATGTTTATTGTGGTTATGCATGTAGGTAGATGGTTCCTTTGAAAGTTTGAAACTATTGTTGCATTTTTTTTTTGTCTTAATTCTATTTTGAGAATTAGATGTTTCTGTTGGCAGAGATTCCAGAAATGTGACTATGCTAAATCAAAGTTGTTCAAAACTGAAGGACGTGGATGGGGTCTTCTTGCTGATGAGAATATTAAGGTAGTTAATTACAAAATCTAGAATTATGCAATTATTAGATGTGTCTGTAAGTTGTATGCCCAAACTCTCACCCTTTTTCTAGTGTGACATTTAAAATTGTAATCATTGTTTTGGACATTGATGGCTAATGCTTATTTCATTTCATACAATCATACTTAATCAATGTGTTCTGAGTATGCACTTTGATAGAATCTCTATGTTTGGAACTTACAGTCTTGAACGCAGCTTCATGTACTGTCATCTGTTGCTTGTTTGAAAGTACTTGAGTTGAACTGTTATTCACCAGTAAGCATTTTTTCCTTACCAGGCTGGGCAATTTATAATTGAATATTGTGGCGAAGTAATCTCATGGAAAGAAGCAAGGCGGAGGTCCCAAACATATGAAAATCAAGGTAATAATTGGATTATCATGTAAACCTGAGATGGTTTGCTAGTTGGGTCATTTAGAGAGGAATTGTAAACATTTGTCTAAATGACCAGGAATAATTGACATGGCAACGTGGTTAGGGTCTAAAGGGTTCCAACATATTCCCTTCACTTCCTTCTAATTATGGGATAAATTTAAGATTAAAAGCCCTTACTATGCTTCCAAGATAAATCCTTCTGTATTTCACTGATTTAAATTAAAAAAATATAATTTTTGTGGTTTATATCACTAGGGAAAAACCACAGTACAAGGTGCCATTTGGGGCTGATGAGGACTGGGGTGTGAACACCTTCCCAGTCTAGAGGTGTCCTTTATTATATGATTTAGATTAGCAACATTATTGATTCATGTAGCAGATCAGACTTCCTTTCTTCCATGCATGTGTGCATTTTATACATATATATGTATGCATTTATATGTATATCCATGCCCATTGTGAAAATTATTAATACTTTCCACAAATGGCTTTCTTCAGGTGTGAAAGATGCATTTATCATATCCCTCAATGCCCATGAATCAATTGATGCTACTAAAAAGGGAAGCCTTGCTAGGTTCATAAACCATTCATGGTAAGTTCTCAAGAAAGTGGTGTAGGTGTGCAGCTTCTGGAGTGGGGGGCATGGAGGTCAATTGTTTGAACATTGCTAGGAAGTTTGGTGCTTTGATTATAATTGTTATTGGGGTTGGGGCTGGCAAGGAAGTTGTTTGTTAGGGGCTTCACATGGGTCATAGTTGGGCTTTGGAGGCCTTTTGTTTTGTTCTTTTCTGGAAGGATAGTTGTTCTAGATTTTGGGCCACTTCTGGGTGTTCATTGGGACTGGTTTAATTTTATAGTTAGAATTTTCTGAGAGCATTTAGGTCTCCTTTTCTTCTCCTTTTTTTTTTTTTTCTCTTATTGGTCTTCTATACTTGTTTGGACTGTATTTTTAATATTACTTTTCTCATTAAGTGATAAAAAAATCTATGGTTGCTATTTTAGATAGAGAATTAACTTTTGGAAGTAATTTTTCTTTTCTTTTTTTTTTTTAAGTTTAATGGTATGCAGAAATTAGGATGTGCAACTTTATTTTGATACTCTAGTAGTAGTAGATGATGAAGAAATAAATTGTTTGAATCTTTTAGAGGCTTGCCCATTTGGCACCTTCAAAATGAGAAAGAGGTTTTGGAGTAGGTACTGGCAGAGTAGCAATTCTCAAAATCAATTCAAACTAGGTCCTTGGTTGGAGGTTTATTCTTTTTATTTTTCAATGTAGAGATGAAGCAATTCTGTTTTAGAATTGAAATCTCAGATGAAGTGTGATCCAAAAGTCTGTTTGGATCAGTGGTATCCAGTGGTGAGCTGTTTGAGAGATCAGTGGTATCCAAAAGTCTGTTTGCACATCTCATTATATGCATGGCTATTCATATATTTGCTCCAATAGGTGGTGCTTATGGTTGCTTTATAAAGTGGTTAAGAGGAAAGTTACATGGTTGGAATTGCAATCAGCTAGTATTATGGTTAAATGCGATGATATTAATGAAATTCATTCCTTGTTGGAGATGGAATTTACTAGATTACTGCCTTACTGATGAGTTATATGATCTAAGAATTATAATTGAAGGTGCTTGTGTAGAACTATCTAAAAAAGCCTTAAATGTAATTATCATCTTCTCTTGTCAATTGCAGAATAAGAAGGTTGTTATTAGTGATTGTTTGGAAGATGATGCCAATTGGATGGTTGAAGATGATGAGATGGAAAGAAAGGGTGTTATGGGAATTTTCAGCAGAGAAGGATGGTTGTGGCAGCGGAAGGCACAAATGTAGTTTATTCTTATTTTTTAAGGCGTTTTTCAGTGATACGTCTTGTAGGTTTGTCATTTTATGATCAATGTACCAATATGTTGCTGAAGTTAGAGCAATCTATGATGCTCTGTGATATTGTCATCAACTTGGGCACAATAGTCTCATGATCGAAGTAATCCTCTCACTGTTTCAAGATTCTCAATCATGATTGTGGGCCACCTTAAGGCCTTATTGGCTGGCTTGACAAGATTTGTGAAGTCATTGTTGAGTGTTAGTTTCCTTTGATCATACTCTTTGAGATATGGTTTAAAATGTCCATAAATTTCCTAATCTTTCCACAACATATTTCCATTTCCATGGGTAGCGACACAAAATTTTGCTGGAGCCGATATCTTCCCCAGTGAACACTACCAGCACTATGTGGAGTATAAGAGATAGTATTGTAAGATAAGTTGGTGACAATATTTTAGATATGTGGAGTAACAATGTTATGGCTCACCTAATATACATGATTACCACTTTGAGCCAGTTTGATATTCATTTCAAAAATGAAGTTAAATATTAGCTTCTTTTTGTGTAATAGATTATTTGGTTGAGCTGTTAGAGTCATTGCATTTTCTATGAGTTTAAGTTTTGCTTGAACTCATTCTATTATGTAGTTTTGAATCTTAAGGTTTATAGAACAGTTTCACAATGTATTATTTTGTCTTTAACCTTAGTTTATTAGCTTTGTTTAATGATTTCGAACAAGATAATAATTTAAAAAGGTGTGTCTATGCTTCATTTATCATTTCATAAAATATCATTATATATTTTAAATTTCGAACAACATGTTTCTGCCATGTCTATAATTTTTACAATATTTCCAACATGTTTCCTATATTTGGATGACCAACATTTTAAACCTTGTTGAGAAGGTAATCTGGTTTCAGATGTGTTTGCCAGCTTGACTTGCAACATTTGATCTTCTGCATGCTTTCATGCGGTTTCAGATGTTCCTTGTCACCTCTGACATCTTGTTTTTGAGGATCAGCTTCAAATTCCTCTCATTAGGAGGAACTAGTCCAATTCTTTTTTAGGCTCCTAGATGCTTTATTTTTTAGTCTATGAGTTGGTGGCTTGGTGTATAGTATCTCTTGATGGTTAGGCTTTTGGATCCCTCTCTCCTAGTTTTTTTCCTCTTATTTTAATATTTACGGGCATTGGGAGTAAAGTTTGGGGTTAAAAAAATGTCTTGTAGGTTTTGAGTTTTAATTTAGAAGAGGAAAGAGTGGAGATGTCTTTGGAAATGAAAGGGGGAGTGACAAGTTGAAGGGTGGTGGGGCAGGAAGACAAATATCATTGGACAAACAATGCATGCATTAATAGGTTAGTATTGTCATGGGAACAGCCTTGATAGGGTGGTTGAGAGGGAGTTTTAGGTGCATAAACTTGGGTTTATTTTATTTGGGTGGGGAAGAAGGAATAAGAAAGATATTTGAAGATTTAGAGGTGAAGCAAAGAGAAAAGGAGATTGAGGAAGTTGTGTCTTCCTTTACAATGGGGAGTAGAGAAGTTAAGTATGGGGAGTAGTGTGAGGATCTTGGTTTTGGTGAAGGAAGGACGGGATCTTTGAAGAAGGTGGCTCTTTAGGGGAGAGATTTGTTGCATTGAACTATCAAATTAACAATATAAATGAGAATTCTTACATGGGATACTAGAGGGTTAATAGGCCGTTGTGGCAAATAGGAATGAAGGATCATCTGGTTAGGTGGGAGATAGTGTGTAGGAGCAAGAGGGAGGAAGGCCTGGGAATAGGTAATATTGGGAATAAGAATATGGCTTTGTTGGGGAAATTGCCTATTGAGAGAAAAATTGTGGAGCAGAGTGGTAGCAAGTATTCATGGTCTCTAGGGCAATGGTTTGGATGCTGGTATTTGTCCTTGAACAATGTTGGCTTCACTATGGAAATCTATTCATGGTATTCTCCTGCAATTCTTAAGCCATGTTTGGTATGGTGCGTGTTCTGGGAACTCTATTTTGTTTTTGAAAGATGTATGAGTGGGAAACTTCCCTCTTATGGACCTTTTCCCTTCTTTGTACTCTATTTCCCCATTTAAAAAGGAGCCCATTTCAAGATTTTTATCACCTTGCTTGCTTCTTATTGGTATTAATTGGGATTTTGAGTTTAGAAGGGGTTTGTGTGAGAGCGAATATAATGAGGCTACAAATTTGTTGCTGCTCCTGAAAAAAGTTTGTCTTGACTTCTCTAAGCCTGATAGGAGGGTGGGTTCTCCCATCCCAAAGGTTTTTTCTTGTTTGCCTCTTTCTTTAACTCTCTTTACTTCTCTCTACAAGCTCTTCCTTTTCCTTCCAAGCACTGTGGTGCAGGCTAGTCACTTCTAAATCATTGCCTTTGGAGAGTGTTGTTACCACCTACTAATCTCTTGTCCATTTGTTGCGGGTATTTTTAATTGTTTTTATCTTTATATGGGTGCTGGTGGAACTTACCGGTGGAGGTGAGGAGGTTGTTTGATCCTTCTACATTTCCTTGGCCTAGAAGGGGGAAGAGTGCTATGGGGTGCACTAGGGCAGCAGTGCTGTAGACTATTTGGGAAGAAAGGAATGCAAGAATCTCAAGAGGAGGACAGATTTTAGAAGCAGTGAAGAAGTGTATAATGATGAGGGTGATACATTGGGTCAGAATTATGGACATTTTTCCACATCTTTCGTTTGATTATATATGGAGCAATTGGTGTGGTGGCAAATAACTCTTAAAAAAATGAGTTGACAACTTGCCTTTTGTCACCTACTGGTGAAGATTATAAAATTAAATTTTGATGGAAGCAGCCAAGGTAATTTGATTCTTCTTGGAGTGTGTGTGTGTTGGGGGGGGGGGTTAGAAACATTGAAGGAAATGTATTGCTTTATTTTTGGGTCTGGTGTGAGAGGGGGATTCAGTTAGGGTTGTACTCCTTGCGGCAATTCAAGGGGTGCAGTTAGCTAAGAATTTGAATGTGAAAAAGTAGATTGTGATGGGGGATTCCAATTTGGTAGTGGAGTGGTTGAAGAATCCATGGGCTGTCATCTTGGAGTATAGGGATGGGATTAAGGAATTTAAATGGTTAACCAGGAATATGACTCATTGAATGGGATGGCGAATATTTTAGCAAAACAAGGGGTTAATAGAGTTCTTTTATTTTGGGATCAGTTATAATCTGTTTCTTCCCTTTATGAAGTGAGTGAACCTTTAACCTCTTGGGATGCTTGTACTGTATATATATATATATCTTGATAAATAAGATAAGATAAATTTCATTAATAGAAAACTAATGCAGTTACAAGCTTCCCATGGAGAGGCATGAGCTGCGTCCTCTCCTAACAGCAGGAAGAAAGACAAAAGATAGAGAACAGATTCAGTCTACAATTGAGCCCAATACAAACTTTCCCTGTTTACCCCTTGTTTTGCAAGACCATCAGTCATAGAGTTTGCTGATCTCCCCACCCATTGTATTCTCGCTGTCAAGCTCCTTGTCAGGCAGTTGAATTTTTTAATTTCATTCTTAAAACACCACACTATAGAGTCCGGGTTTTGTAGCCAGCCCACTATCACCTTGGAGTCCCCTTCTATTATCAACCGCTCCACACCTATCTGCACTGCTAGCTGTACTCCCTGGTTAGCAGCTGCAAGTTCCGCCCTAGTAGAGTTTCCAACTCCTATGGGTCCTGAGTAAATAGGAGCCACATTCCCAGCCTCATTCCTCAGTACCCCTCCCACCCCTGACGGACCTGGATTACCAAGACTAC